GCAGACACTCTCTGTACCCTCGCTCAGATCGTCCAACCCACCCCCACTTTCTGGCAGGCGAAGACAGAGGGTGTCGCTGCCTTGCACCTGGGACGCCCAAATGCCAGCTCGGAGGCTTTGGAACAAGGAACCTGTTTTTGAACCCAAGTCCTGCTGCGACCAAAACTACACCAGAGTCCCTTTTCCTCAAGCTCACCTCTCAAGGCAATAAGATTGCTTCACCCCCTGTGTTCACAGCAGAAGGCAGAGGGCAGAGGGAAGGCATGGCTCTGCTGGATGTCACCATCCGGAAATGATTCTCTGTGTGCCAGCAATCAGACGCCAACACGACAGAAGAGGCTGTGGTATGCATGAGGTAAGATATGTACAACTAATATCATATGGCCGTCTCTCTGAAATAAACTGCGACTCAAAATTCTCCGCTTTTCACAATCTAGCAATATTACAGAAGTGCAAATTACACAATCAGTGCAGCTATGCAAAGCCAGCGATTCCTCAAAATGAAACTGCATAAATAGGAATCGTGGATGAGTTATGGAGGAAGACGTGGATAGCTGTCAATCACCTTGCACTGTAAAAAACACCTCGTGACCTCTGCTTCCTTGCTGCAGACAGTGGAATAATGACAGTCTCTGTGGACCCTCTGTGGAATTCCAAATGGGAGTTAGAAATGAGGTAGTTCAATCAGCGGGAAAAGGTCAAGTGCATGCAGATTTGCTCTCCCTTGCAGTCTCCATTCCTTTTTTCCCAGTTTCGCTTTACACCCTCCAGCCCCCGCCACCTCCAGGGTACTGAGGCAATCAGGGTAAAGGCTGTTATTTCTGCTGCCGCAAGTGACCACGTTTAAATATTCAACTAAAAAAGTCCCTTCCCTCCCCTTTCTTGCCAACTCCCCCTTTTCCCCCTTGGATAGTAGTTGTTGAAGTATTGTGGTGCAATTTGATACGGCCAGCTAATTCCACTGTTATGTCTCGTACTGCCTCAGACAAGTGTGGAGGAGAGGTGGCAGCAGGTCATTACCTGAGCATATTTCCCTCCCAATGGCAATGTGGCTTAGGAAGAGAAGCAGCTAAAAGCAAAGAAAACTAATGGCTTTGGCAGCTCTGCCTGCAAAAGCATGGGGCTATTAGGAAAACTACAATCCCCAGGTGTACCTCTATGTCATGTCCTAAGGCTGTATGTGACAAGGCCAGGTTGTCTCTGTCGATCAAGCTGGAAGAGGGCCGAACCTGGCCTGACATAGCATGAACCTGGGATACCAAGCCTTCTGGGAATTTTTCATCTACACCTGGCTGATTGGCACCCCCCGGGCCTCCCGGGTGGTGTCACACAGGGTTATGGTTGCAGGTGTGCTTGTGTAAATGTGTGTGTACACATCTCTGCTACAAGAAAAATTCTGGGCTGTACAACAGTTGATTGAAGAGTGGCTTTAGCTTTAAATAATAATTTAAAAAAGTAGCTTTATGTGTTTGACATGAGTAGAATTGCGTTCATCTTTAAAGGAAAATCATTTTTGTTTTAATTAGGCTTAGGTGCAGTGACACCAAAAGTAATTATAAATCACCATTGTGTGCTCATGAGTTGCAACCAGGCCCTGTTGAGGTTAGAGACACAAGGGAACACCCAGGTTTAGCCCAAAGTCTGATCCAATCATTGGACAAATATGGGAGTGGCAGTAAGCTGTTTTGTTAACAAGGGTACTGTAGCATTGACAGCATGTCTGCACAAAATGTGCAAATATGCACACCCATTTTGACAACTGCATCATTACAAAATGTCATGCTGGCACAAACGCAACTGCTAAGGAATGAATAAACAAATTAAAACCTGCTGAAATTTGAAAAGATATTATTTTGGAAAATAGCCAGCAGAAATACCCCCATCAACTACTCAAGTGAAGGATTCTGGACCTGTTATTCTCTAGCTGACATGCGACAGAGTAATTGTTGTCTGGGCAAGAGGGGAGGCAGGGTAGTGGTGGGGGCTGCTGGGCCTCCTGTCCAGCCATCTCAGTGTTCACTGGACTGGTCCGCCTCCCGTTCCCCTCCGAGAGCGGGGCTTTAACGCTCACCCGTGTTCCCTGGACCTTCCGGACCACATCGAAGGATGATCAAGGAAAGGAATGGGTGGAGAGGGAGGTCACCACCGGCTGAGGGTGGCCAGGGTCAGTGGCATCCATTCACCCCTCTCCCCCTGCAGGGCCTTTCTCTCTCATCTGCCTGGATGGGTGCCCTCTCTGTGGGGCACAACACGATGAGAGGTCCTGGCTCCGCTGCCGTCTCTGCCTTTCATGTCTCCATATAGGGCAGTGGTAGATAAACGCGGAGGGGGAGGACGAAGGAGGGGGCAAGCTACAAATGTCACCCATAAGGGGGGATTTAATTAAAAATGACAGGGGCTGGCGCTGGAGAGTGCAGCCACATATGTGCGGAATTTGGGCGCAGTGAAAGCAAGTGCCTATGATTTATAATTCAAGTAATGCTCCGCACTCCTTTTAATTCTACGGCCAAAGAAAAAAACTATCAAAAGGCTGCCCTGTGAGGCTAATCCAATATGATATTTTTAAGGGCAGGCGGTCAATAGCTTTTTGAAAAGCCAGCTTCTCTGTCTCCCTTTCTGCTTCTCTCTCTCTCTCCTCTACTTGTCTGTCTTTCCCCGTCTCTCTCTCTGCTCCTGCCTCCTTTCTCTCCCCGCTCTATAGTACCTCACCCCACCCTCCTGAGCACAGACACAGAGCGGGCTGTGATAATGGAAACATCCCGCTCTCCGCCTCCTGTTTCTCCTGCTAAGCTCTGTGCGCTTGGGGGAAATTGATTGTCTGGCGAGCCGATCTGAACGCTTCCAGCTGATGGTAGAGCCAGTTAAGTCCTTTTTTATTGAGGGTATGAGGGATTTTTAATGGGATTCAATGGGAGTCGCATCAATGAACTGTGCAGCCACTCGGCATCTGCATGCAGGGGCTTTTTCTAAAACCCTCCTCGCCCTCTTATCCCAATGCTCTGCCACCCCACCTCCACTTTCTCTGACACACACACCCACACATACACATGCAGACAGGTTTTTGTGTAAAGGAAAGCAGATGCAAATGACAGAGCTCACCTCTACCTTCGCTGCCACGTAATCCCCCTCCTGCACTTTTACTTACTGTCCATTTCAAGGGTGTATTCTTATATTCAGCTTCCTGTTGAGAGCCCTGTCATTTTACCCACAAACCCTTTCCATTCTGGCACAAACTTGGCCACGACCAATCAGTCATGGGACCTGCTCAGCATGGTGACCTGAGTGTGCCCACTTCTGCAGCCAGACCCACTGTCTGCTTTTCTGCAGCCTTTCTAGGCCCGGACAAACAATTGCCTTATTGAGGCCAAGTGGTGCACGATGGTGGAAATCCAACACTTGCCTCCCCCTCCCTCCAGTCCAAGGACAGAAAGGAGGTTATTATGTTCAAACATCCTCATTATGAACCTCAAGTCAGTCACTGCGGTAGTCCTTCAATCAAAGGGTTTAACAGGTGGAGAAGGAGAGGGAGTGACAGGGAGAGTTAGACAGAGAGGGTCAGCGAGAGGGAGGGCAAAGGGAAAGCTGGAGACTGTTCTTTTTCTCTATTGATTTGAGTCCTGACTCCCACTGGCTGCTCTTCAATAAAGGACCTTGAGAGGAAGTGGGCTAATCCTGCAAAATTGGAAGTAGGGAATCGATTAAGAAGACTGCTGAAGACTCCTTCCATTTCTCTCCCTTCCTCTTCATCTTTACCTTCACTAATTTTATTTTCACAATTTCTCCTTCCCCCTCCCCCTTTCACTGTGCCTCTTTCTCTAAAACCTCATTAGCGATTTGTGGTTGGTTCACTAATCTAAAGAGCTAACCCTTCCAAATGCACCCAAGGCTTTGTTTATCTCTCTGTTCCTCCCTGTTTCATGCACATCTATACACCTCCATATCCACACAGACTAGAAAAAACAACAAAAAAAGTCTGAGTACATATATTATACAGTCACCTTTTTGTTTATGATTCTTCTCTCCTCTGCATAAGGAATTTGGAAAGTGATGCTGAGCTGAAGAGTAGCTAATTGGACAGTGAGGAGCTGAAAAAGAATTTGGGCAGTGCTTCATTTCTTCGCCAATCAAGAGTTTCAAGCCTTTCACAGGGCTAGTTAAAGGCTTGATACAATGCTCCTCTGATGAAGAAGCCCAGATCCTTCTATTTCCACTAAGCCTTTGTAAGCTTGGGTAAAAACTGCAAGGTTAGTACTCCCCTGCTCTCCATCCGCCAGCCTTTTTAATCAGCTTGAGGTAGCTCGTAGCCCTGCCATGTAAACAAAGGCCAATAAAGAGTCTAGGAGTGTTAAATAAGCAGGAAAGACCTTTCCTCCACTTGTCAGACAAAAAAGGCTTATTCAAAGCTTCAGCAAAGTTAACGAGAAGTTCACCTTCCAGAGGCCTGACCGCTGCAGCTCTCTCTAATCCCAAACTGGTTAGAGCTAGTTTCGCCAGCACTCTTAGCGGTTTTCAGCCCTGGCTCATCTCTGTCCCTTTACACCATTTTGTGGGTGGACAGAGGGTGGTGCTAGGGAGCAAACAGAGCAGCTGTCACACTTTACATGCGGCCGGCACAACCAGGGCCAGACACTGTAAATGTTTACAGACCCTCAGGGTCACCCAGGGCCACTGAGGCACGTTAAACACTGTCTGTTCGGCCCTGTTGCCACGACTGCACAATCAGCACTGCTAAACAGGCTCCCTCACAATGAGTAGCCAAACAACATAGCATTCCAAGGCCTAAGTGCAAAGTGAATGAAAGTGTTTAGAATTCCTCAGAGTATTGAGAGAAAATAGTGCCAACAACAGAAACTGAAAAGTCTATTTTTCGTAACTTCTAGTTAGGGTTAACAACAAGTTTCTGTCCTTCAGCATGAAGATCAAACACAAACGTCGTTCTCATTCCACTGCTTCAGGCAAGAACTCCTGACCTCTATCGCACCCTCTCTTTGTTAACTTACATTTCCGTCCAAGGGCTTGTGGTGGCTCCAGGGTCTTGCTGGCACACACTGGGTGCTGGGGTTGAGGGTTTTGCCTCCTCTGCAAACAGGCCAGCATGGCGAGGTGGGCACAGTACAACAGCCGGGGGAGTTCTGCGGCCAACCTAGAGTAGAAAAGGAGCAAGAGAAAGAGAAAAAGAGGAACACTGCAGTGAATTAAGCAGGATGATTCGAGGTCAGAGCTCCATGGCCGTGTCTCGTAAGGCTGCAGGAACTCACTCTGGGCTAGATGGGCTAGGTTTCTCACTCACGATTTAATTGGTAAAGCATGCCTACGGCTGCCTGCCCCTCAGCTGTGTGTTGAATGATAAACACACACCTGCATCGGGGCACCACAGTTGACACGGGTTCAGAGCACAGTCCAGGCCAGTCACTCTGCAGCTTCAAACAGCACATCCACAAAGCCATTCAACCGCATCTCCTGTCCATGAAACCATCGTCAAAACAAACACACGGGCTCACACACAAAGTAGCAATACTCAGGCACACTGAGACACATTCTTTCCAGGCCAGTGTGTACGTGGTGATTGATGGCGTTATCTATGGACAGCTAAAAAAAAAAAAAAAAAAAAATGGGAATGCTGAGAAAACAGCAGTCTGCCTGCAACAACTTAACATGCAACAGCTCTGGGGGACTGTCAGGAAAGGCCTGGGGGGGACTGAGTGGTGTCTGCATGTATGTGTAGCCGTGTGTTGAACCGTATGGTTGCATGTGTGTGTGTGAGCAAATGCGATGGGCTAGGAGGGGGAGACTGCCAACCGTACATCAGGGCTAGTGACGGCACTAATCAATCTCCCTCTAGGCTATAAATCTCCAGCGCTACACTTCCATTTTTCCCCCACAGCCACCTTCACTCAGGAACAGGGAAGCAGTTGCTGCTAGTTTCTTCTGAAAAAGCCCATCCTAGTCCTAGTGGAAAGCACAGGACACAGTTTTACATATATTATGCAGATACAGGTTATCATTCATTAGAAACTTATGAGTGTCACGTAGCACAATGATGACTGATTACTTCTACTGGTTTTATAGGCCAGATGAAAACAGCTAAAGCAAACCGCTGAGGTTCCAGAAGTGATTTTATATGATAAGGATCGAGATTCACTTCACCATTGTTTACTCAGCGGATACCGTTCATTTCCTGGAACCACACGCTCTCGCTGTATTGAACACTTTTGCAGCCCAGTCTCACCTACAATGGATAATGGCTGTGTCTATAAAAAGGATTGTGGCCTTAATCTTAGCTCAGCCTGTGTTTGAATGTCTTGTCCAAAATGCATCAATATGAAACACTATTGTTTCCATCTGGGTTGGTCTCCTCCCATATTAAAACAAAGAACAGAGGCAAATATTTCATCTATGCTGTCAGCGCCAGCGTCTCCCGCCATGATGCGTGGCAGATTATTGAAAAATGATTTCTCATGCGCCTGTCACAGGCTTGTCCCCTGTTATTTATTTTCTCAGTGAATCACTAAATGAACATTTAGCCACCTGCCATCAGTCCATTACTTAGTTTTATAGATTATCATTTTAATATGAAAGAATGCAATTACAATGATTACAAGATAAATTAATGGCAGCAAAGCGCCGGCTCCTGTCTCATTCATTTAAAGAATAAAGCAAAACACAGACCAGCAGTGAAAATCGTCAAAAAATTAAACCAGTCATTGAAGAATCCAAACAAATCAAGCTTGTAAATGACCCAATGTTCCTGTAATATTTGACCAAAGTGAAAAACCATCATCTAAAGCAGGCTACGTTATGACAAACACTTACAAAGTCAATTTTGTAACTTTTATTGAATATCTGTGACAATGACTTCCAAATGCACAAATGCAAATTTCATCGGGCCTTAAAACAGAACATCCCCGGCACAGTTTAGGTGAAAAAGAGGAAAATTATAGACAAAATCCTTCCTCTGAGTTTGGCAGTAATTAACTTTCGATTTGTATTTACAGGTGTATTTGTATAAACTTGTGAAATTCCCCACATATATTTTACCTTTTAAAAACAGGAGATTTAAGAAGTGCATCCAAATGTTCTACAGCCATTTAGCTTTTCGAATGATTCAAGCAAAATTTGATTAGAAGTGTGAGGGTGGAAAATGCAGAAAGGAACTACGATACGCAAACACATCTAGCTGCCTGTAATTAACACTGAATGACTTCCCTGGTTTGAATAGGCAATGATCAGAAACAGGTGTTAAATGCATCCTCCCCGCCCAGAATGCAGTCTTTCACCCATAAAAAGCCTTTTAAAAAAATAAAAAAATAAAACAGTTTTAAAGAAATTACATTTGACCTCAGACCCCGAGGCTTGTATAATGCACTTAACACTCGCATGTATTTTTAAAGCATTTTAGAAGCAGCACAAAACAACTCTTTTAGCCTGTCAGTGTGAAAAGGGTGTTCACTAAAAATGCATCTCTCTAATAAATATGAGTAAACTGCATCTTTAGACTCCGAAGACTCCACTCCCTCTTCCTCTCTCACACACATTTGCAGTGAAGAGAGGGGCCACTCTCTGTCTCGCCAGGTGCTTGAGCAAAAAAAGGTCGCTTGCAGTGCCATTTCCTCTCACACACAGGCAGGCCTGGCCTAAACACACTGGCACTTTGAGCTCATTACTGGCTATTCACATAATCCTTTCTCTGTGTCCTCGCTGTGAGGATACTAATTTCACAACAAGCCCATCCTCACAGTCCATTTGTTCAAAGATAGTGGTTGAGAGAGTGGAAAGGGACACATGGTGTAGATTGAGACTAAAAGCTAGTCTTAACGGGGGATACCGCCACCGCTTTCCCCTCTCTGAAATAAAAGACAATCGTCTAACTACCCTCCATTTTTCTCCATTTGCTGCTCACCAAATGTATTCGGAGGCATTATACTTGCTGAAAGAGACCCTCTTTTTTTCAATTCAATTTCAAGAACCAATTTTCCCCTATTATTGCCGTTAAGAGAGAAGCCGAAGGTGCAAGTCTTCAGCTTGTTTGTCATGTCCCTCTTTTCCCCTCATCTCCTCCCATTAGGTTATTGTACTACTTAGCAGATGTCTATCAGTGGCAGGAAATAATCTCCAAACTAAAACCCTGTGATCCATCGTCCAGCTGCCCAAAAAAACAGCCTGTCATCCTGAGGTCAAATCCCGTGGAGCTGCTGAAGAATGTGCGAGCACACACACTCACTGCCCCCCC